TTGCACAATGTCGCTCTTCTACAAGTAATGGCAGTGTTTGTTTTTACAACTTCAGAGAGTGTTTCTTCTATTATAGATATAAGATTTTGCAGTGTACAAGTAGACAGCAAATGCAGAAGCGCTAATCCCTGCGAGTAGCCAGTAGAAGTAATCCACGTGAGTCCGATTAAAATTATCTGAAAACCAACCATCTCGACCCGGGCCACTGGTGGCTTTCTCCACCACAGAGATGAGAAAGCTGCTCAAGAAATTCCCTATGCCAAATATACTGAGGTATAGAGCAGGACCTATACTTTTCAGCTCGTTTTGAACTTGGTCGTAAAAGAATTCTTGGAGGCCGACCATAGTAAATACATCTGCAATTCCAAAAAGCAAATACTGAGGTAGCAGCCACCACACGCTCATTGGCACTGTTGCATTTGCCTTGTCCACGAGGCCATACTCAGCAACAGTTTTCAGGCGTTCCCTCTCGACTAAAGCTGCAATTATCATGGAAAGAACAGATAGAACTATCCCAGTTCCAATTCGTGAAAGCATTGACATGCCTGATGGTTTCTTACTCATAGCTCTTGCAATAGGAACCAAAATACGATCATATAATGGAATAAAGACAACAATGCCAATGGCGATCAAAGATTGAAGTGAAGCAGCAGGTATTTGCAAGCTAGACGTGATAGAACGATCCATTGTAAGTCCTTGTTCGGTGAAAAAAGTCGACGATTGTGGAGATACAATGGCATATCCCAAACATGTAGTCCATATTGGAACAAGTCTTAGAACTGCCTTTGCCTCTTCAATCTCTGTGACGGTACAAACTTTGCCATATTCCTTTGAACCATCAGGTGCAAGCAATGCTTTATTAAGAAACCTGTTACAAATCAGAAAGATAATAATGAAACAAAATGAGATTGATTCCATTATTTCAATCTTGAAAAGCAAAGATTTAGAGTAAAACAATATCATAGTTTGTTGTGGTTCCAGGTTAAAAGGTCACGTGTCTACTAATTTACAATGTCAAATTTTACACATTTGATAAATGGTATGTTTAATAATGAATCAACCGCAATAAAAGCGACCTTCGATGTTGCATAAAGACAGACTGTCCTCAAGATGCTCAATGACACTGACAATACCAACCTAATGCACCAAAGACAGGTCAAAAGAAATTTTATCTCCAAATATCAAAATACACATAAGGGTAGTCAACTGTTGACTTACTTGAACTGTTCAGAGCTTTGATAAGGCAGAATTCCCCGAGCTTCCTCTTCCTTAGATATTGCTGTCTGGGTAGTCGCATTCAGGAATACTCGACCAATTCTCACAAATGGGTTTCTTTCATCACTTCGTACGCGAAACCGGTAAGTCCTTGTTCCAAGCAAAAATGTAATTAGCGCAAGGCACATAACAATGCAGGGGATTCCAAAGCCAAGACCCCAACTCAGGTTGTCTTGAATGTAGCACAAAACAAGGAGAGCCATTATAGTACCCAAATTCATGGAAAAATACCACCAATTGAAGAATGAGCTTTTGGCTTCACATTCTCGTAAGTCCTGTTCATCAAACTGGTCAGCACCGAAAGCTTGAACACAAGGTTTATGCCCTCCTTGTGCTAGTGCAACTAAATAAAAAGAGAAGTAGACGATAATAATTTGAAACTGCGGCGCAGAGCATGCCTTGTTATTTGTGGCATTTTGGCAGTGAGAAGATTTGAATGAATAGAGAACAACAGATGTAGACAAGAAGCAAAGTCCCTGAGATCCATAACAATCCAAAAAGAACGTGATTAGCATTTTCCCAGAAGAAAAGTATTTTCAAGAATCATTGCATCCTGAACTCTTCACGAAAGAAAACCTTCTGTACTTAGATTTATACCATTTATTAATGAATAAGCCAGATGGGTTATTAGTATTTTCCTAATACGCTCGAGTAGAGAATTACATGGTAAGTGTCTAATGAACAGAACTGCTCCGTAATGGCTTTTTCAGTTGAGGAAAATGTTGAAACTTTGGCCTTACCCTTGATCATAAGTAGAAAACTGATGCATACAACCTAAACCAGACATGAAATGCTTAATCCCGTTTTAAATATTAATGTGTAATGTATTAAAAAATTGGCAAAAGAAAATATAAATCACAGGCCTCCAAATTTTTAATTATCAAACATATGCAAGTAGAAATAATGATGCAGACCCCCACTTCGTATTTGTATAATAACATGAACAATATCACAGAACACAAATATAAGCATCCTCACAATGAATTCAAAATGCCACAACATACAGAAAATCCGGTAACTAACAGACCAAGTATCACAAATTCAACCAAGTAAAATAGATGTTCATCACAACATGTGCAATGCTACCAACTTTAACATAGAAGTTCAGAAAGATCCATAAAAGTCAAAGCACCAAAAAGCTTCCAATTTGATCCAAAACTACCTACACGGACAAGTATCAATCTTTTTTGTCAATCTGATTTTTTTTTAAAAGTACAAAGTGATTAGAGTTGAAAAGTTTTAACTTTCTGATATCGCCTTCTGATAAATATAGTACTCAAGTAGTTATAAGCTCAAAAATCAAGTTTTAACTTGGCTATGTAGGATGTGATTAGAGTTGAAAAGTTCTCAAGACTAACCAGGATATAGAGCCCAAAGGCAATGACAATGGTCCGGCATCGACCGAGAAACAGGTCGGCCACAAAAGCACCCAAAAGCGGCAAAAGTCCCGACGCTCCGTTCCACGCATTCACGTTCGCTGCCGCAGTTGCGGTGGATTGGCCCAAAGGACCCGTCAAATAAGTTATTAAATTCGAGCTTATTCCAAAGTAAGAAAATCTTTCAGCCACTTCAACACCTAAAAAATTTTAAAAAACGAAAAATTTAAACACCATTTTTTTTGCTATAAACTGTTGAATGTGAAATTTGTTGAAATATTTTGAATTAGTCAGCTAGGATTAATTAGGTTGTTGCTGCATTTTGAAATAATTCCTATTGATTAGGACACGTTTACTTTGAACATTTCTCTAGGTCTCTCCCATGATTCTCGGAGTTGTTGAGACGTGGGCTGTTTATTGATAAGTGTGTTTTTGCACACTTATTTACATCACAAACATGACTTAAATGCAGNATTTGAGGACCAAAATGAATCAAACTAAAAGCTAGCTATACTATGCGACCGCATAGTACAAAACCTATGCGGTCGCGAGTGAACCTCCAGGGATGAAAAAGGGCATTTTTCTTAAACCTATGCGATCGCATAGGTATAAATTTTTTCGAATTTTGCACTTTCCTTATATGATTGCAACTCCTTTGATAACCTAATTTGGACGAGTTTAAATACCAACAAAACGTCCAGAAGCCGGACGAACGACTTGGGAGGCAAAAACATCAATCTTGGAGTGGAATTGAAGGCAAGAACAAGCAATTGATGCGAGATTTACGAGATTTCTTCAACCATTGACAATCCGGTGATGTATTTTATTCATATTTTGTTAGTTTTCGTTATTTTTATCATGATAGGCTAGATTTTTGCAACTAGGTAATCGATGAACCATGTAATTTTTATTAAACTTGCTATTTCATGATTTTGAATTATTAGTTTGATGGATATTTAAATGGATTATATTGATTTACTTATTTCCACAATTAATGGATGGATATTTGAATGGATTATATTGATTTATTTATTTCCACAATTAATGTGCACTAGATTTGTATGAACTTGGTGGTTTAATTCTGAATTTGAGAAAATTAGATTAGACTCGACATATATAATTCATCATAGGGTCCGATAGGGGATAGAAATATACCCCTATGCCCTATGTAAATCTTTAATTGCTCACAAAAATATTATATGCGTTCTTGTAAAATTGCATCCGTCATAGAGATATAGGCTGATAATTTATGAGAATAGGTTCAATACATCTCAAGAGAGAGTATTGAATAGAATTAGGAGTATTGATTTATCAAATTCTTATTGAATTATCAAAATTGTGAAATTAGGGTTTAATTGGTAATTATTTGGGGATTCGTGATCCTAGTGCATTTGTTTTACATAGATTTTCATAAATTGACAATATATTTTATCGATTTTTCATAACATTTCGTAATTGAGTCATTAGTTAAGCGAATTTAAGTAATTAGGGTTTGATTTGAAATTAGGGTTTTTCAATTTGGGGATTTCTCCCAAAATTAGGGTTTTTGATTCCAAAATTCACTTCAACTCAATTAGTTTCGGTTAAGGCTAAAATAAGTAAAATTGAATTAACCAATCTCTGTGGGACGATATTCGGACTCAATTGATCCACTTTATTACTTGTTAACGAACCGTACACTTGCGGTAATTTAAATCGAAAGAAATATTTCGCGAACAAGTTTTTGGCGCCGTTGCCGGGGATTGAGTTTAGTTTAATTTTATTTCTTGAGGCACTAATTCGAACTTAATTTTTATTTAGCATAATTTTTTTTTTGTTATTTTTATTTTAGTTTATTTTTCTCTATTTGTATTTTAGTTAATTAAATTGTTTGAATCTAAGTGCTCGTACTGGTTTTAATTCTCAGATTTGCATGTCACGATTGCCTGGAGGAGAATTGATTCCAGCTGATCCTGAAATTGAGCGCACCTTTCACCGACGACAAAGAAATCACCGCGAAGCACAAGTACAAATGGCCAACGAGTTAAACAATCCCATGATTCATGCTAACGAAGGAGAGGCAATGGACGAAGGGAATGAGATTCTGGGGGATTTCTTGACTCCTCAAGTGATCAGTCCAGCATAGTGTATCCACCATTTGGGCAACCTAATTTTCAGTTGAAGACCAATGTGATACAGCTGTTTCAAAATGGACACTAATTCTATGGCAAGGCTGAGGAGAACCCACACACACATGTATCTCGATTTCTGGATATGTGTCAACATTTCAGATACCAAGGAATTTCGGATGACGCCATTAGGTTGAGGCTTTTTCCACACACACTACGAGACCAAGCACTTGAATGGTTGGATTCACTCCCGGTTGCAAGTATCACTACATGGAATGAGTTGGCACACAAGTTCTGCACAAAGTTCTTCTCCCCAGCCAAGATAGCAAAGCTGAGACATGATATATCAGTATTCAATCAAGGAGAGACTGAATCATTTGATGAAGCCTCGAACAGATTCAAAAACATGCTCCGGAAATGCCCTCAGCATGGGTTCGATAAAAAGACCCAAATCCGATTCTTCTACACAGGATTACTTCCATACCATAAGAGCATGGTAGATTCAGCATTAGATGGCTCAATATCCACAAGAACAGTTGATGGGGCATTGGAATTATTTGAGCGAATGGCTACCACATCAGCCATGTGGTCTTCTGAGAGGGCAACTCCAAAGAAAACTCCAGGTGTCTACGAGGTGGACGCTTATTCAGCAATCTCTGCAAAAATTGATTCTCTTTATCACAAGATGGAGAGCATGTCACAAACGTCACAAGCTAAGAAGAGCAATTGTGAGGAATGTGGAGCCGAACATAAAACATCAGATTGCCCTATACTCATGCAAGGAATTGAGCAAGCAGACTACGCACAGTGGGGACAACGCCAGTAGAATAATCAATATAGTGAGACTTTCAATCCTAGCTGGAAGAAACATCCCAACTTCTCGTGGAGCAACCAGAATCAGAATAAGCTACAGGGGCAGTTTCAACAACAGGAGAAGAGGTCTCAATTGGAAGATATGATAGGAAAGTTCATGGAAAAGGCCGAAGTTACACTTCAAAATCAAAATGCAGCCATCAAAAATTTGGAAACTCAGATGGGGCAGCTAGCCATCACATTGACTGGGAGAACACCAGGTAACTTACCAAGTAATACAGAAATCAATCCTAAAGAGCAAGCAAAGGCCATTACAACTCGAAGTGGAGTTCAATTACCTGAAATTCATGTCAAGAGACCGGGGGTGATTAGAGAAACATCTTCCTCCGCTGAAGAAGAGACAGTTGTAAAGGAATCAAGTTCAAAGGAAAATTCACAAGAATCACAAGATAATGCCAAAGTCACAGTTAACCCCTACGAACCTCCGATTTCCTTTCCACGGCGCTTGAAAAAGCAAAAAGTGGAGCAACAATACAAAAAATTTCTAGAAATCTTCAAAAAGCTCCATATCAACATCCCTTTAGCAGATGCACTATTCCAGATGCCTAGCTACGCGAAGTTTCTGAAGGATATCATATCAAATAAACGCAAGCTGGAAGATCATGAGACAGTCATGCTTACTGAGGAATGTAGTGCCAGAATTCAGAACAAGCTTCCACCAAAACTAAAAGATCCAGGGAGTTTTACTGTTCCTTGCACAATCGGTGAAGTATATTTTGATAAAGCATTATGTGACCTCGGTGCAAGTATTAATTTAATGCCTTTGTCTGTTTTCAGGAAACTAGGATTGGGAGAAGGTAAAGCAACCACTGTGACACTTCAGCTGGCTGACAGGTCACTGACACATCCCAGAGGAATAATTGAAGATGTACTTATCAAGGTTGAGAAGTTCATATTTCCAGCAGACTTTCTTATCCTGGACATGGAAGAGGACAAGGACGTTCCCTTGATACTTGGCAGACCATTTCTGACAACAGGGAGAGCATTAATAGATGTTGAAAGAGGTCAATTGATTTTAAGATTGGGAGAGGAGCAGATATCATTCAATGTATTCAAGGCAATGAAGTTACCAGCAGAATCTGACAGCTGTTATCAAGTTGACATTATTGACAAGGCAGTACAAGAAACATTTTTACTACACTGTCCATCTGACGCCTATGAGGCATGTATTGCACAATCCCAATCAATCCAATCAGAGTCTGTTGAAGTTGAAACATGTGCAAGATTTTTGGAGACCAACCCGCCTTACACACGAAAGAGGCACTTCGAGGAATTGGGGACGGAAAACACAAAGCCACTACCTTCAGTTTAGCAGCCGCCAGTTTTAGAACTCAAACAACTGCAGCCACATCTCAGATATGCTTATTTAGGAGAATCAGATACACTTCCAGTAATCATTTCGAACACAGTCAGTGAAATGGAGGAGAAAAAATTGTTCAGGGTACTTAGAGAGAACAAGACGGCGATTGGTTGGACAATAGCTGACATTAAAGGAATCAGTCCTTCCATGTGCATGCATAAAATCTTAATGGAGGAAAATTGCAAGCCTAGCATAGAAAGTCAGAGAAGATTGAACCCGAACATGAAGGAAGTAGTCAGGGCAGAGATACTGAAGTTATTGGATGCAGGAATTATTTACCCAATTTCAGATAGTGCATGAATCAGCCCTGTTCAAGTGGTACCGAAAAAAGGGAGAATCACAGTGGTGAAAAATGAGAAGAATGAATTAATTCCCACCAGAACGGTTACGGGTTGGAGAGTTTGCATTGACTATCGCAAACTCAATGCAGCTACACGAAAAGATCACTTCCCACTGCCATTCATTGATCAGATGTTGGAGAGGTTG